TTCTCTCTTGTTGCCTAGGCTGGAGTGCAATGGCACAATCTTGGCTTACTACAACCTCCACCTCCTGGGTTCAGGTAATTCTCCTGCCTCAGCCTCCGGAGCAGCTGGGATTACAGGCATGTGCCACCACACCTGCCTAATTTTGTATTTTTAGTAGATACATTGGTCAGGCTGGTGTCGAACTCCCCATCTCAGGATCTAACTGCCTCGGCCTCCGAAAGTGCTAGGATTACAGGTGTGAGCCACTGCACTGGCCTTCCTAAGATTCTTTAAGACTTTTTTTACAGATGTAAATTCAGAAGCCAGCTAATACATTGAAGAAAGGATGAGCAGACTCGCTAAGGATGAGAAATTCAGAAACTTAGGCTCTTGGTCACCTCAGGAGGTCACCAAGAGATATTTTGTATCTTCCTGCCCTATCAGCTCTTGTGGATCAATGTTTTAAAACTGTAGACAAAGTTAATTCTTCAAGCCAAATCCTAGAAAGAGAGCAAAGGAGAGAGAGTACACAAAGGAGGTTTCTGTCCCTACGTATCATAATTTCTATACTGTTAGTTAACTCCTCTTTATCAGGAGGGATATGAACTGAAAGAGAAAAAAAATATTTAAAAGTTCTATATTTTTTAGTAATTTTACAATGGAAGTACTCGAATATTTTCCATAGGGATCAGCCAATAGATGGATTTCTTGATATTTTTCTGTTCCTTCCTAAATTCTGAGCAACTCCCAGACACTGTGATTGTAGGGAGTTTTGTTATATAATGAAAAGAAAGATTGTGTATTAGAAGAAGTGCATTTTAGTGAATTATTTTGGAGTTCAAGGTTTAAATGCCATTCTCTAAAAATCTCGAATTGTGCATAGTACAGGTGTTATTTTACCATCGTTACATGTTACATACCCATTATGAAATTCCAGTACAGGTAATACAATTAGACTATTATCAATTCGGGTTAACAATTATTTGGCAAATTCATCTTGCCAAGTCATTTTTACCCTTCATCAGAAGAAATATATGAATTAATATTTCAAGAATAGTTGACATTGCTAGCATATTGCGATTTGGTTCCTGGTTTGGCGAGATTTGGTATTTCTAGTCCTGAGTGCTAGCCTACCACGCAACAGAACTGCAACCCCGGTTCTAGGATACTTGGGCAAATATATATTAATTTGTCATATATTTTTTACCGATATTGTCATGTCCTTTCTCTTGAAATTAACACATTCTACCTTCCTGAGGGCTAAAGAAAAAGTGCTACTGAACCACCCAGGATGGAACAATTGTCACACACACACACACACACACACACACACACACGTGCGCGCGCGCGAAGGTGTAGCTTGAAGCGTCTGCTATCAGCCTGTCCAGTCTTTCCAAGCATCTCAGGCTGAAAGCAAGCGGAAGTGATTGAGAAATCCCTCCAGGGACTGGTGCTTCCCCCAGGGATCTACAACTTTGCACTCCATTCCCCCTTTCCCTCCCATCTCTAAATCCCCGGGTAGTCTGGGGAGCCGGAGTCCCCGCCCCTTCTCACTGCCAAAGCTCATTCTAAACCTTTTTTGGGGGGCAGGCACCCAGAGAATGCTATGGACCCCACTGTGAATGGTGACAGAAATTGGTGGAAAGCACAGCTTAAACATTTTGCGAAATTTTCAAGACACCACGTATTCGAAACACATTCTGACCTGCAGGATTAAGAACCCCATTTCTTAAACTTTTGACTTGGGGCGATTAAATCGAGAGTGGAGCTCAGGTGCCAAATCTTCTTCCGAGTGAAAAAGTGTAGAAGGGAAGGCGCTCCTGCGCTGGGACACTTTCACTTGTAAGAAACCAGAAGGGGACTGGTGGCAAGAGATGGGGACAGAAGAGAAAGGAAAGGAAAAGGAGAAATGGGAGAAACAGAGAGGGACCTGGTGGGATGGGAGAAGACAGACCTCACCGGGAAAAAGGGGAGAGGGGACAGAGTCCGAGAGGCACAGCAGCAGAGAGACCAGGGGGAGAAGAAGAAAGAGACTCGGAAGGGAAGAGAGAGGAGAGGAGAGGAACTAGACGAGAGGGGAAGTGGCTGCACGCGCGCCAGGAAAGGGAGAAAACTTTCCGCGCTTTCCCTCCCCGGGGCAGGGAGTCTCAGAAAACCCCACTTCGGCGAGGTGGCGGGGACCACGACCAGCTGCCCGGCGCTGGCCAAGCCTCTGGCCTCCGCCTCTTGCAACCCGCAGGGCCTCCGGCTGCGAGTCCCTCACGGGCCGGCCGAGGAGGGGACTTGGTCTGGAAGGAGGCGGTCCCCGTTCGCCTCTCTTTCTCCTCCCCTCTCCTCCTCTTAGAGGCGTGCACCGGGGGCATTTGAGAGGCTGTGGACCCGCGGCCCCCCCGCCTCCGCCCCCCCAGCCCCCCATTCAAGAAGCAGCCCCGCTATCCCGGCCAGCACAGGGCGCCCGGCGCGCCTCGGAGCGCACGTTCCTCGCCTTCTCCTGCCCGCTCGCTGGACATTATGCGGCCAAGCAGCCGAGCCCCAGTCCTCCTCCTCCTCCTGCTTCTCCGGCTCCTCCTGCGGCCCGAGCAGCTCAGCTCTCGGCAGGCGGCGGCGTTGCTCAGCCGAGCGCAGACGGGACCCTCGCAGCGAGACCTCAGCGACTCCTAAAGTCAAAAGTTGGCGGCGGGCGCCGGGCTCCGCGCGCTCTCCACGGCCGCTGCCTCGCGTCGCTGCTGCAGCCAAGGAGGGCAGGAGGGAGGGGGTGGGAGCAGCGGGGGGAGGGGTGTAGAGCACCATGCAGTTTGTATCTTGGGCCACACTGCTAACGCTCCTGGTGCGGGACCTGGCCGAGATGGGGAGCCCAGACGCCGCGGCGGCCGTGCGCAAGGACAGGCTGCACCCAAGGCAAGGTAACGAGGCTCCGGCCCTGGCTTCGGCCCCCGGGACCCTGCCGCCCCTGTCGCTGCCTCCCGATCCTAGCTCCCCGGAAGAGGCACAGCGCAGCTAAGGCCTCTCTCCTTTTCCTAGAAAGAATCATCTCCAGCTTTGCAGCCTCTCCCTTCTTTGGGTCATCCCCAACCAATTGCTAGGGAGGGACACTATGGAAAAGAATTTAGGCAACCCCCCCATCTTGCTGTTAGCCGGATATTTCCCGGTCCCCACTCCCATGCCGCAAACTAAAGTAACTTAGTAATTGGGGGCACCAGAGAGCATCATGTTTTATTTTATTCAGGTTATTTATCAATATCTGAAATCACATATATTTTGACTTGTTCATTGTCTGGCTGGGAATAGTGTATCCTCAGCACCTGGCACAGGTCCTGTTACTGGCACACAGTAGGTGCTTAGCAAATATTTGTCCACTGATTAAGGGTGAAGGGATTGACTCGAATGGGCTGGAAAATAAGGTCAGGACAAAGTCCCCGCCTTCATTTGAAATTAAAGCTTGGGGAAAAATGAGTTATTGGTTCATATACCTCTGCTTCTCTCCGCAGTGAAATTATTAGAGACCCTGAGCGAATACGAAATCGTGTCTCCCATCCGAGTGAACGCTCTCGGAGAACCCTTTCCCACGAACGTGCACTTCAAAAGAAGGCGACGGAGCATTAACTCTGCCACTGACCCCTGGCCTGCCTTCGCCTCCTCCTCTTCCTCCTCTACCTCCTCCCATGCGCATTACCGCCTCTCCGCCTTTGGCCAGCAGTTTCTATTTAATCTCACCGCAAATGCCGGATTTATCGCTCCACTGTTCACTGTCACCCTCCTCGGGACGCCCGGGGTGAACCAGACCAAGTTTTATTCCGAAGAGGAAATGGAACTCAAGCACTGTTTCTACAAAGGCTATGTCAATACCAAGTCAGAGCACACGGCCGTCATCAGCCTCTGCTCAGGAATGGTAAGTGGGCGCGCGCCACCTCCTCTCCCCTTCCGCCTCCTCGCCCGCTTCTGGAAGACTTAATTGCCCTCTAAGCCTAGAGACCCTCACTGTGGCGAGACGAGGCTCCTGCGTATGTATCAGTTAGAAAACTCGTATGGTTTGGTTATCTAGCTCTGTGCGTGCGCGTACACTGGCACGGAGAGCACACACCCGCCCCCAGGGGCTTCTGGATGTTTCAGAGCTTTCTGGAGTTTGGACTCGATTCAGCGGCGCATTGCCCAACGCTGCGAGGCGGCCTGGAAGTCAGTTTCCAAACTCGGAGAAAGTTTCTGGAGTCGAGGTTCCTTGCAGCAAACTTGGCCACCCCGGAGCGAAGCAGCTGAGATCAGGGCGGACCAGACTCTTTATTGGTGTGCCTTGCATCCGGAATGTGGGGCTGAGGACCCCCAGCCCAAGACACAGGGAATTCCTTCTGTGTGTGTTGTGGAAGGCGGTGCGTAATCTAGAGTCCCCGCTTTCTCTAAGGGCCTTTATTCACGCGCCAAGAACCCTGAGGCTGAACTGGATTGACAGAGAGCAGGTCCTGTCCCAGGAACGGAAGGGTGGGCCGAGGGCTCTGGGGGCGGGGGGAGAAGGCGGAGCCTACTCCGGACGCTTTGAATTGGGGTGGAACTGAGAGTGGGGGTGCAGCACAGTCCGACTCTGCACCCTACTGGCGGGGTGGCCAGGAAAAGCGGAATAGTGGGAGACCGCCTGGAGAGGCTGTCCGGACGTGATTTCGATTCCTCTGGGGTTTCTAACACTCATGGGTTCCAGGGAGTAGAGAGAGGGAGCCTGCGGCTCAGGTTTCCCTAGGGACCAAGGCAGGGCGGGGAGGCCACCTTCTTGCGCTGCCAAATACGCATTTAGCAAGGAATCGTTGGTTCCCCCGACTCCCTGCCGACCCCCGCGTGTGCCCTCCAGTGGGTCTTACAAGGCATCTCTCCCACACTTCTCCACAACATTTGAGGACTCGCTCCTGTACCGTTCTGGCCCGAGCAAGGGTAGTCCTTGACTTTCCCAAAAGGCATGCGTTTCTGCTACGCGCGTGTGACGCAGAAACTTTCCCGGGTCAGTCTCTCCCGGCGCCTGGCGCCCTAAGCGCAATGGGGTCTTAGGCACTGTTCCCGGCGATGCCTTTACTCTTCCCGGAGCCCCCACAGTCCCTCCCTCCCTTTTTCTAAGTGCGGCTTTGGATACTCACCCCCGGACACTGGGCTGCTCCCTCTGTGCGCTGTCGTTCGTGGGTCTTCAAGTTCCCAAGCGCATCCTTCTCTGCCTCGCAATGGAAGGATCCGGTGGGGAGGGTGGCAAGCTTGAAGCCTGGGAGGGGGTAGTTCTAGGAATTCCTGCTGGGATTCTAGGAAAGGGATAAATTCCTTTAGCCCCCAGCAAAGCGCCCGGAGCCCTGGCGCCCGAAGTGCGATGTCGGGATTGTTTGGGGGTGGGCGGAGACGGCAGCTTGGCGAAGTGGGAGGGGGTGCTGCGGTGAGTCATCGCTGCCCCAGCACCTAGGGCAAAAAGCTCAGGAATCCTTCGGGTCTTTGAAAGGCTAAGGCCGGAGTAGGCAGAAGTCTGCAGTCTGAGCCCATAGTCTGGAGTGCCCCCAGATTCCAAGATAGTAACCCCCAGTTCTAGGACCGTAGGGATAGGGTTGCGTGTGTACGTCAAGTTTGTAAACAGTCTTTACTCCTCCTCTCTCCCCGCCTCCACACCAACTGAAGCCGAGTGGCCCCAGCAGTTGTATAAATATTTTACTGCGCAGGACCTTCATTTTCATTGGCAGTTTTAGGTGGTAACGTGCACGTGGGTTCTTTGGGAACTGAGGACTGGGGTTTCAGGAACAACGACCTGGACTGTGATCCCTTCGTTTATATTGCATTTAATTTGCAGTCTGCCTCTTTGGGGGAAAAGGGCCCTCCTACGTCTTAAAGATACGGGCTCTGGCTCTTTGTATCTTCAGCCATTAATCTAGCTCCAAAACCCTTGCCCCTTTGTCTTCCTTCGCCTAGCCTTGTCGCTAGTCCTTCGCTTAGGAGTCTTTCAGGAAATTTCTCACTCTGTGGAGTGGGCTGTGCCATCCTTCCACCCCTAGTCAGTTGTCAATTTTTCTGAATTTCATCTGAGATGTGTCGCTCACCTCTTAACATCTCTACCCTAATTCTAACCCTCTTCACTTCTCTCCGCCTCTCTCCTTAGGACTGATGTCTAAGACATATTACACGGGGCTACTTCTCCAGTCTTTCCCCTCTATCCTTGCCACAGACTGCTAACTCCATTTGGCATTTAAGACTATTTACAGCGTACTCATTCACATCCACATGTCCAGTCTCAGCTTCAGGTCATGGATCTTACACTGCTTTCTCTGTATCCCACCCCCAATCCTAGTCTTTGTTGCCTTTGTGCCTTTGAATTTACTTGGTCTTCTCACTCAGCTTCACATGCTCAAATCCTACCCTTTCTTTGCAGGTGTAATTTACATCTCTTCTTCCCCAGAAGACCTTTTCATAGTCCCCAAGGCTGAAGTCATCTCTTCCCCTCCACCTTCATAGACACTTCTGAGAGTCTGTCTTATGATGCTTAGTATGTTCTACATTGCATCAATGTTCTTGGCATACGTGCCTTCTCCCTTTCTCCTTGGCACCAGGGTCAGCATCAACTCATTTTTCCCCCATATTGGAGCTTTTTTTGTTGTATAAACTTAGTAAATATGTTTGAATAAATAGTCACCTTAACCAAGAAAAGATAACTCTTAGGCCCACCTTTGTGAATCAACAGCACAATTAATTTTGACATCATATTGATATGATTTAGTGAGCTCTTAATATGTGCCTGGCACTATCATAAGTACTTTACATATGTATTATTGCATCCAAATCCACCAAGAACCCAATCCTCAAAACAATGAATTTTACTGACAAAAAATCTGAGGCTTTGAGAGCTGAGCTGGATACTTGCCCAAAGTCTCACAGCTAGTAAGTGGCAGGGTTGGGATTTCAGCCCAGTCTCTCTGATCTGTGCACTTAACCATAGACCTAAGACAGATCCTGTGCTCCTGAAGAGAACTTCAGGGTTCTTTTCTAAAAGGCACAGGAGTAAAGTCAGGTTAGACTTCCTCCCTCTGTGTCTTGGTTTCCCCATTTACCAATCAAAGGTGGCAAATCTTCACGAGCTGAGCTCCCTGGCTCTTTCCCAGGATTTGTGTCTCTGGTAGGCTTCACATGTTGTGATATGCTCTCTGATTTGTGCTCAGAGACCACCCAACTTGTGTATTGAAAACAGGCAGAGAATAAATTTATTAAACCACTTCTTTTCTGGCAACCAGCTACTCTGCCTCTTAGTCTGACCACACCTGGGCTGCCCTCATCTTAAACCAGGGGCTCAGAAATCACGTGGAGAGCTTTTAAAACATAAATGTTCGAGATCCATCCCTAGAAATTCTGAATCTGTGATTGGGGGTAATGCCCCAAATCTAATTTAAAAACAGCAACAAATAAAAGCTTCCCAGGCAACTTTGAATCTAGCTGTTTTGGGGAACCAATGTCGTAGCCTAGTGCTACTCATACTTTATCATGCGTAAGAATATCCTGGGAGCTCATTAACATTTCAATTATTGGGCCCTATCCCTAGAGATTTTGATTCGCTAGATCAGATTTGGAGTGGAGCACAATTATTTGAATTTCTAATAAGCTCCTGGATGATGCTGATGCGGATGCAGCTACTGATGTTCAGGGATTCATTACTCCTGTCAATAGAAGGATGGAAGGCATTGTATTTTGTTTCCAGCATGGGAAATGGGAAAGTGGAAGAGAAGAGAGGAACTTGATTTTGCCTCATAAACACCACTCACCAGCATGGCATGGGGAATATTTCAGTGTTCTTGTAATTATTGGTTTGAGTGGTTCAATCTTGAGGTACCGTTTATCATTTGCAAAAACTTGGGTGTGTAGGGTAAAGAAGAAAAAGTGACTTGCAAGATGCTTAGAATGATTAGTAAGAACAACTTTTATCCTAATGGATAGAGGCTAACACTGGCAACACCAACACAAAAACCGTTCGTGAGTTCTAACCCTTTGCAAAGTGTAGCACTGAATTATCATGGTCTCATTTACTCTGCACAGTAACTCTTTACATTAAGTATCTTTATCCCCAACTGACAAACAAGGCAGCTTAAGCTCAGAGTGGTAAGAAACTTGCCCAACGTGGATATGTAGGTTGTGGTGCTGAAACTGGAACCTAGGGCAGTCTGGCTTCAAACCTTTGCAGGACATCACTCCCTATTTTGCAAAGGAAAGGATTGGTGAGAGGACCATGTGCCAGTGTTACAGGTGGTACCACCTTGAATGCATTGTGACCAACATTTGCTTCCTGAGTTTGAATCAATGGGAAGACTTCAGTAGGCCAGCTTTTCCAGCTGGAGTGCATATTTGTCCCTAAGTTTCCAGGCTCTCTAAGTTTCCAAGTCTCTTTTAACAGCCTGTAGGAATGATTGGAACTTGAGCCCTAAAGAATTATTTCTTAGAGACAGATTTGGATAGCAGGTGCAATCAACTGGAGTCACATCAAGAATAAGGTACTGATATGACACTTTGGGATGCTGAGCCAGGAGTTGAAGACCAGCCTGAATAACATATTGAGACCCCATCTCTACAAAAAGTAAAATATTTAGCTGGACATCATCACATGCACCTATAATCCCAGCTACTCGGGAGGCTGAGGTGGGGGATTGCTTGAGCCCAGGAGTTCAAGGCTGGGTGAGAGAGCAAGACCCTATTTCTAAAATAATAAGGATAGTAAATAATAAATAATTTTTAGAAAATGTTCTGATATGACCAGTGAAAATAAACCACCTCTCTGCATATGTTGCAGCATTTTTAGTCTAAACAACCCTCCTGAAAAAGAGATTGGGTAAAATGACACCATCTTTACTCTAGCTGTTCTTTTGGAAACGTTCTTTTGTTTTTTTCCTCCCAAGGGCTGAGTTATGTTAAATCAACCTCTCATCTCTCTTTATTTGCAGCTGGGCACATTCCGGTCCCATGATGGGGATTATTTTATTGAACCACTACAGTCCATGGATGAACAAGAAGATGAAGAGGGACAAAACAAACCTCACATCATTTATAGGCGCAGCACCCCTCAGAGAGAACCCTCAACAGGAAGACATGCATGTGACACCTCAGGTATTTGCTTCTTGCTTAAGCAGAGAGCCCAGCTCTTGGAGATGGCTAAATTGCTATACTATGAAGATGTAGCTCTTTCAGTCTACAAAGTGCTATGTTATGCATTGTTCTTTATTTGGTCCTCAAATGAGGTAGGGATACATACCCCACTGTAGAGATGTGGAGACTAAAGAGAGGTTTAGTACCTTGTCCAAGGCGCACAGCTAAGAAGTTACAAAATCAGGATTTGAACTCAAAGCAGTGACTCCATGCCCTCTATGGGCAGAGCTGCCTCTTCTGTTGAAATTGCTGATTTTTAGTATTAAGCTTGAGTAATATTGAGGTCATGATAGCAGTACCCTCAGTCACCAAATGCTTGTATTTTCTTGGCGTCTTCTGTTCATTTGGGTATTTTTCTTGTTTCACAGAAATGTCTTATAAAGGAAACTCACGAGAATGTATATGTGTTCATTTAATGTTTCCTATAAACTTCAGGTCTGCTCATGTTCTGTGACTTCAGGAACTGTAGGAAGGTACCTGTGGGTTATACTGTGAAGTACCAATCAACCAGTCAAATTCTATGTGCCCTCTGCTAGTCTCCTTCCATCCCAGCCAGATTCTTGGAGGTTATATGCTGACATCTTTGGCCATTGTCAGGGATATGTCATTCTGGGCACCCTGGTCTGTGTTTCTTCATCTGCAGTCTTGTGGCAACATTTCACTGTCTCAGACACCTGGTTACTTTGCGCCAGATGATAGGTTATCCTATGAAATAATTCCTCAATTTGGTCCCGCATCTTAGGATACCTGACAAAATACTTAAAAAAAAATTCTTGGATTTCCTGTCTCTAAAACTTTATCCTTCTTTCTATTCTTTATTTTTAAAATTGCTTCTCCAAATTAAATAGCATCTCAGGTCTTTCTGGTATCTCCAAACAAGGCCAAAATTCAAGACCAACAGGGGATTTCCTCAGATGCTCCCCAGAGCATCACTTACGTCACCTTGTACCTGTACCAGGTTGTTCCAGTGGAACAGTATGCAGTGTCCTATTCTCTCTTGGAATTATTATTTCTAAAGTGAATCCTTTAATAAAAGATAATATTGACCATTTAAAATCTGGAAGTAGTCAAATTTAAGGGTGTAGTATTGTAGGTCTTTTGGCTTTATTCCATCCAGTTCTGTGTTTTACCACCAGAACAAGATGGAATTTAACTGAACCATTCTGTCAATTAGACTATAAAGACCAAAGATATATTAGGAGCAGAGGGGCAAGTGTGCTCAGATACATCAAAAACAATAGTTTAAGCAGCAGGTATGGAGTCAAGACTTCCAGCCACCAGCCAGTTTAATGGATAGGACATTCACATTTTTGACTGTGCTAGTAAAACCATTGGCCTAAACTTGTTGGCTTCCTAAATCTTTATTAGCAAGCATACATTTTAGATGTGTGTATAAATGTATACATAACATGAAATAG